ACTGATTTTTTTTTCTTTCTTTCCTTTATTTTACCTATTTGTTTTTATATCTAGCAAGCTCAACTTTGAGGATCACCACTGATTAAGCAAAACTAGATTCAATTTAATAACCTGATGGACACAAAGTAAGAGTCCTGTTTAACCTTAAATTTACATTGTAAATAGAACTCACAAAGAAAACTTTAAATGTTTTAGAAATTTTCAAAAGCTGATATATTAAAAACATGCTTCATGCTCCAATTAGTAACCAGAAACAATGTTTGAGTTATGTGATGGCAAAAAAAACAAACACATTTGGTGACTTCTGGTAAGATGATTGCAAAGTCAATGAGTTGTTTACTGAAATTATTCATCTCTTGACACAGTGTTATTAAATTTAATGGAACTGGATATGTTTAGATGTACAACTTAATTTAGAAGAGAACAATCTTGTTTCTTCATCTTTACTTGATGTTAGAAGTGATATTCTGAGGGAGAGAGAGAAAGAGAGAGAAAAAAAAACAAAAACTGAGGAGTGGTACAAAATAATTTCCTCTTAAAAAAAAAAATAATCACATTTATATTTCAATTTGACACATGAACTTTGATGTGCAGGTGGTGTAATGGATAACTGCTCGGAATGAGAAATTGGAGAGTAGAGTTCAAATCCTTGTTTGGTTTAGTGCATTCACTTACAAGCAAAAGATTTTTAGTGCAATATTCAATCACAAAAAATATATTACAATCCAAAAATGTTTCAACTTTAAATAACCCACAAAAGGTTGATAAACCATAAAAAACAAATACATATTCACTTAACCTGAAGTGAACACACGTTTACACAGAAAGCCCCGTTCTGTTTTAGTAACTAAAAAGAAAAATATTCTAGGGTTAATTTCTCTTTTTTTTTGTTTTGTCTTACACATGAAAACATTAACCCAAGAATGTACCATTTCAGCATATTTTACCTTTTAATTCATATGCAGTTGTGAACTGCCATAATGATTTCATTAGTTATTCAAATTAATATTCTTGAGAAAAAAAAACACGAGTTTAAGTAATATCGGGTAGTTTTTGAAATTCTAAGAAGACTCCTTATTCTTCAAATTTTACAGATGCGTATTCTGAACTCCTTTCTAGTTCTTTAATTCTATTCGTAAGCGTAAGACTTTATGGATATTTAATGAATGCTTACAATTTATCTCCCTTGAAATGTAAACACACTATGTCGACCTGTAAACTAGAGTTTACCAAACAACGTGGCATGCCTCATATGTGCAGTGGAAAAGGATAGCAAATGAGGCAGAATGATTAATTGAATGATTAATTGAATGATTAATTGAATGATTAATTGAATGATTAATTGAATGATTAATTGAATGATTAATTGAATGATTAATTGAATGATTAATTGAATGATTAATTGAATGATTAATTGAATGATTAATTGAATGATTAATTGAATGATTAATTGAATGATTAATTGAATGATTAATTGAATGATAGTAACACTTTAAAAAAAATTCATATGCCAAAAATAAATATGATTTCAAAATTTAGAATACTATTATAGATAACTTGTAATTGCATGCATGAGTCCCAGTATAAATAGTTTTGAATAATTATTGACCAATTTTATCATTGTGATATTTTTGCATTATGTCAAGTATTAACAATATAGTAACTAGGATCTGCAGATTGGAGGAGAGAGTTATCAATGATAATGTTCTGATTGTGAATCTGCAATTATTATCTCCCTTTACCCATCTCTCCGTTTCTCAGGGTCTAGCTTAGTTGTGATAAAATCAGCAAGTTATATTGAATGGATCAAACATTTGCCTTATCTGATATTTATTGGACATTTCTGTCACAGATAATGAGTTCCAGCAATGAGTTTAGAGTACTCATCTGCAAAATTTGGAGAGTAAAGAATTTTCTCAGAATTTCAAACAATTGTAATTTTTCCCAGGGTTTTTAAATGTCACTTTATATTTTTTATCTTTATTTTTTTATTTATTTATTTACATTTTTTTTTGCTCTTATATTGAGTTGGCCATAAAGTTTGTTTAGTTAATTAAGTAAATTGTTCTACTTAATTGTTTTACTTAAATACAAACTTTTTGGCCAACTCAATATTTCCTTGTGTTGCTTCAAATCTCAAACAATGTAAATTTTAATATACAATCAAATGTCAGATACAGCAGATTTTCTGTAGATAATGGGTTTTTTTTTTTTCTACTGCAGAAACAAAACTTTGATTTATTTCTATTTTCAGGTAATGCTGTTGGGACAGGTGTGGCAATGACTTATGAATCAGAGAACGGGCCATTGTTGCTCAGACTTGTTGTCCAAATGTCCACTAAAAAGCAAGGCATGACTTGGATTGCTGCTATGCAGAAGGTAAAACCTCCAAAGACTTCTGAGTTTTTAGTTCTCAGGAATCTGTTGCCAGCCTAAATGGATCTTTTGTTCATCCATTCGAAATTTAAAGCTTGTAACAGACTCTGCCTCCCTGTGTTTCTCTGTATTGCAATCTGCCTTCACTCTATCTCTTTGTATTGCAGTCCAACTTTTCCCCCCTGTCTCTCTGCATCGCAGTCCGCCTTTTCCCCCCCGTCTCTCTGCATCGCAGTCCGCCTCCCCCCCCGTCTCCCTGCATCGCAGTCCGCCTTCCCCCCCCGTCTCCATGCATCGCAGTCCGCCCTTTCCCCCCCCCCGTCTCCTGCATTGCAGTCCGCCCTTTCCCCCGTCTCCTGCATTGCAGTCCACCTTCCCCCGTCTCCTGCATCGCAGTCCACCTTCCCCCGTCTCCCTGCATCGCAGTCCCCCACCGTCTCCCTGCATCGCAGTCTGCATCCCCCCGTCTCTTGCATTGCAGTCCCCCCCCGTCTCCCTGCGTCGCTGTCCGCGTTTCCCCACTCTCACTACATCTTTTAATAAATTGTTCCAATTGTGTTAACTCTTTAGTAATTATTACCTTTTAAAAATTTTAGGCAATCTTTGACCTTTGTACCCACAAAAAAAAAAACAGTGTCAGAAGCATGCCATTGCCATTTAGCTATTTCACTTGCCAGCAATGTTTGTAGTTTTTAAAAACTGATTGTTAGAATTATAATAAAACCTAAACACATGATGAAAGTGAATTTTAACATTTTTTGGTTCTTGAGAATTTACAACAAAAATATTAAACACTATTTACAAGAATAATTTTATATTTATAACATTCTAACAACTAATACAATTAGAACTAATGCAATGCAATATTTATCATTTACCAATTTATAAAGAATTAAATATGAAAATAATTTTCTATTCATGAATATATAAGCATTTACTAAGTCATAAAAGTATATGAATGAGCTATAATGAAATCTTTATTTACTATTTTATAAAGTTTGAATTGATTGGCAATTAGCCGATGTTTGTCAACCATTCCATTAAACAATCTTATAAATAAATAGTGTTTAATATTTTTGTTGTCAATTCTTATGAACAAAGAAAATGTATAAATTCACGTCCATATGTTTAGGTTTTATTACAATTCTAATCATTGCTTTTTAAAATGCTAAACATTATTGAGGAGTGAAGGTAGTTCAAATAACATCAGTATCAAGGGGAAAATCATTGTTTTGACACTCCATCTTATTGCAGGTATGAAGGTCAGAGATTGATAAAGTTTTAGTATAATTCACAAGATAACTGTTTTGAAAAAAAAGGACAAAATTAAAAAATATTTACCAAAAAAAAAAAATAAAATGCCATAATTCTAATAATTACCATTTATTTTTTAGGCTGCTCGCTTTTTGTATGAGAAACGTTGCCAAAACAGGCTCCGAAGTTGATGAGTTTTATGGATCAAACGTTTGACGAATATTATTGCTTTCAACAACCGTGATTGGACATTTCTTCCAAATCTCTGACCAATCAATATGCACTTTATAATAAAAAAATAAAAAAATTGAAAAGAAAATGGTGGCTACAACTGAGAGGAAACAATGGAAGCAAAATCTTCTCAGCCTTATCATAGCTCGATGCTGATTTCAGTATTCATCTTCTCATGTGAAATTACCATTGCCTCTCAGAATAGGAATATTTTTATATCCTCCCAATCTTTTTTAATTGTCCTTGTTTCTAGGACATCTAAACTATAAACTACCCAAATGAGATGAAAAATCTTAACAAGGTGAAATGTTAAAAATATGAAATAATAAATCATTGGTGTATTTCAAATAATTTCTGGAATATTTTATGAACATTTTGGGTAAACAAATTATTTGTACATAATTATATCTGTATCATATATACACATGGATATATAAGCAAAGGGGGGGGACAATTTTATCAATTGTTATAACAATTTTTAATTATTTTTTTTCTCATTGTTTTTTCCATTGGTATTACTGAATTATTTTTTTTAATTTTTTTTTTTTTCTTTTTTGTAATTATAAAATTTGTTAATTTTTCAAAGTTTTTTTAATTTTTATTATCATCTATTTCTGAAATTTGAAAATAAACGCAATCAGATTTGCATAAGTTGACCTGCATCTATGTTTAAGTTAGTATTTGCTTCATCTGACCAATATACTGCTGTTAACTAAACCATTGTTTGAATAGCTTAAAATCTTGTTGATATAATTGGTAATAATTTCATGCCTATTTTTCTTTTTTAATTGCATGGAATTACATGTATAAGTTTAAAAAAAAAAAAAGTTAGCATTGTACTGCTTCAACTTTTCCTTCTCCATTTTTTTTCTTCTTTTTTATAAAAGGTGGTCATGTGTTATTGAAGCAAATCTTTCTGTCTTTATAAATTGAATAAGTTGCTCTGTTCAATGAAATCCCTTATCTGCAACTAATTGCATTAAGGAAATCTCCTTTAAAATTCAATTAGTAACATTGATAAAAGAAACAAATTCTTTTTAGGCAAGTTAAATAATTTGTAAACACTTTGTTTACTACAAATTGAATTATCTATTCCTTTTTATTATGTCATGTATTTTAACACTTTTACTGCTGAATTAAAAACACTGGTTCTCATTTGATCACCAAAGTTAAGCAGTGTTGAGCATGGTCAGTACTTAGATGGGAGACCACTTGGGAATACCAGGTACTGAAAGTAACCTCCTACAATCCCAATTATGTTTTGGCTTTAAATAACCCAGAAAGGGTTGATAAGTTGTAAAAACACCCCAAAAAACAAAAACAAAAAAACGCATCAATCAATCACTGCTGCATTGTGGCCTGGCTGTGCTGGACCTTTTTGGGAAAACTTTGCCATTTACTGGAAATAAATGATTATAAAAACACTAATAGCAAATTCTCATGGGTGCCGCCATTTTGGTTTCAATCGGATACTCTGCAGTAGAGACTAAACTAAACACATTGTCACAAAACTGGTTTTATTGTACACTGTGCTGGTTTGAAAATAGCACTAAATGCTAATTAGTTTATAATACAAATTCTTGGGACTAACATTATTATGTTGTCTTGAAACACACACACACACACACACACACACACACACACACACGTATGTGTGTGTGTCAAAAGCTGGCAATGTATGTTTGTAAAGACATATAAGTACCTCCACAGCAATAGTTAATAATTTTAATTTTTTTGTTTTAAGAAAAAAGCAGAAGTAGGATCAAAGCTGTTGCATACATCATTAATATAATAATAATAATAATAATAATAGCTGTTGAAATTGTTATTGTTTATGTGTCCTTTCTGTTGGGGATTGATTTGTACACTTTGTCTTGGATTAAAGTGTTTCTCCATAAGAACAACCCCACCACCCTTGCCTAGGATTAAATTATCACAGCTCAGGACTCCTGCCAAGCTGTGATAGTATTTTTTTTCTTTTCCAAATGCTCAAATCAGGTCCCTATGGAAGACAGTGCAAGAAATAGGCCCACTAAGCATTAACTTTCATAATATTCAGTTTTAAAATTAAAAATATTTTCACAATGGAAATCAATGAATAAAGTCTAGTTACATCTTTCCTTGATTCAAGATTTCATTTTTAAATTTTATTCTAACCGTCTTCTGCATAATAAAATGTAATTCTTACATTTGTTATGGGTTCTTTCATCAAAATTAAGTCTACAGCAAAATACAATGTGCATTTTATCTCTGCAGTGAATAGAATTTTAATTTTTTATTGGATCTGCTGTTCAACAGTTATTCATTATATTGTAATCTATTTTCTTTAACATGACTCAAATGTTGTTTTCAATTTGTGCTTCATCATTCATGTACCAAAATTCTTTTATTGCATTATCATTCACATTTGTAGGAAGCTGCAATTTCCTTAAAAAGAAAAAGGCCACTTTCATTATTCCACACATTATTTGGACAAATTCTTTCATCTTCATCCTAGGATTTCAGCTGATATAATCTTTCGACTTCAATATTTGTATTGCAATAATTTAAATGTTTTTTAAGTTTTAATTTTGATTTAAATTGCAAGAAAATAGCAGAAGATTTGTTTTAATGGCGACATTAGCCATTTCCATAGAGGAAAAATATGGCACTCATTGACCAAACAGTTGGAATAAAATTTTTCTTAAAACAGTTTTTATCACAATCTAGTATTGATGGGAATTTCCTTCCTAAATTTTAATTTTTGGCTGTGTGGAAAGTCAAAAAACTTTCTCTCTTTCTTTCTCTCTTTCTTTCTCTCTCTCTCTCTCTCTCTCTCTCTCTCTCTCTCTCTCTCTCTCTCTCTCTCTTTCTTTCTCTCTTTCTCTCTCTCTTTCTCTCTCTCTCTTTCTCTCTCTCTCTTTCTTTCTCTCTTTCTCTCTCTCTCTTTCTTTCTCTCTTTCTCTCTCTCTCTCTTTCTCTCTCTCTCTCTCTCTCTTTCTTTCTCTCTTTCTCTCTCTCTCTCTCTCTCTCTCTCTCTCTCTCTTTCTCTCTCTCTCTCTTTCTCTCTCTCTTTTTATTTATCTCTTTCTCTCTCTCTCTCTTTATTTCTCTTTCTCTCTCTCTCTTTATTTCTCTTTCTCTCTCTCTCTTTATTTCTCTTCTCTCTCTTTTTTCTCTTTCTTCTCTCTTTTCTTTCTTTTCTTTCTTTTCTTTCTTTTTCTCTCTTTCTCTTTCTTTCTCTCTCTTTCTCTCTCTCTCTTTATTTCTTTCTCTCTCTCTCTCTTCCGCAATTAAAGTTGTAAAGAAGATATTTAAACTATAATTCATTTTGAAATAAGAATAATGCTAGAAATATGTTTAAATTTTATTTTGAGGTGAGGAGGAAGCCTTGAACAGTTTTAGAGACCATCAGATTGAATCTAGTTGAAGAAGATTGGAAAATGGATCAGACTGAAATACTACAATAAAAAAAAAACTAGTGGAAGACATTTTGACTGCTTCTTTGTAATCATTATCAGTGAAATGTGACTTACATAAAATTAACCTTTTTTACTTATCAAGTCTCGTACTTTATAGACAGATTGGAATATTGGAACCACAGAGAGCAACTCCATAAATGGAAGATGGAATCATCTGTGTTTCTGTGAATGGAATTGGTTGGATCACTATATTGCTGCTATTTTCTTTTACTAGATATTTACAAAACAAATACTTTAGATGTGACTCAGTCATATTAAAGTGGTGTTACTCTTTGGGAAATTCATTGTAATTATGGTCTCTTTATAGTGATTGGTTTATTGGTTTAACTTACATATTTAATAATTGATATGTACACCCCCTCCCCAATAGAGTAGTGGGTGAAAAATATTTGTCATAGCCAAGAACAATGATAGAGCACTATGAACCAAATGATATTTGATATATTTCCCCTACAGTTCAATATGCAAGTTACATTCTTTCTAAAGGTTCTTGAATGCCTCAGAAAAAATATTTTTCATACTTGATCATTAAAATATTGACTTTTGGGGAGTGGGTTAAGCTGCTATGTATTTAGAGATTCTTGGTTTTAAAAAAAAAAAAAAAAATTGCAATGGTATCAGTCCTGACCTGGCATCTTGGCTTCTGTCACTTTCTCACTGCCATAATGTAGCTTCCCTCTGCCTTTTCTATAAATATTTTCTTGGTAATTGGACACTGCTCTTTGGTACCTAGACTTTATGAATTTAAGTGCAAGTATTAGATTGGCAACAAGGTCTCTAAGTTTGAGCTCTCTTTCCTCCAATAAATATACCAGATTTTATATTTATAACATTTATTGTCATAAATAAATCCCTGATTAAAAAAAAAATCCCTTGACTGCATCAAAATTTGCTTTATTGATGTTTCAGATATGAAAAACATAGCAGATGTAAACTTTGAAAGGTCCTAATGTCTGTTGTTGATTAACATCCCTCTGTTACCTAGACATTATGAATTTAAACACAATTGGTGGTAAGGTCTCCTCATTTTACATTTTGAAGGGGTAGATGTAGCTGTAAGTTCTATGCTAACAGTTTCTTCTCTTGCACTTCTCACTTGTGCAACACTCTTCTGGCTTCTTGCTTTCCAATCAACTTCGATCTTCAAAAATTTAAATATAATGTCAATCATTATCCTTTGTCTTATTCATTCCTGTTCTTTTATTGTTCTTTCTCCTTAATGTTTTTCTTTTTCTGATATTATTTCACACTCATTACCCACCTTGTGTCATAGTGGCTTTATTGTCTTATTTGAGAGTATGAAAATAAAAAACATACTATTAAGGAGAGAGGATAACAAAAGAATTAAAAAAACGGAAAATAACAACTGACTGATGAAAGCGAGAAGCTGGAAGAGAGTTCCACATATGAGAGCTGCAAGAGAAGAAACTATTATATGTTATGTTAAAAGTGCAGATAATTTTTGACTTAGCCTTGTGTGTGTGTCTGTTATTAATTTAGATGTAACTGTAAGTTCTATGCTAGCAGTTTCTTTGCTTGTGCTTCTTGCTTATGCAACACTCTTCCAGCTTCATGCTTTCCACTCAACTTTGATCTTCAAAAATTTAAATGCAATGTCAGTCATTATCTCCTATATTAATATCTGTTCTTTTATTGTCCTCTCTTCTTAATAATATATTCTTTTTTTCATATTCTCTCACACACAAGAACCCCTTTCATCTTAGTGTCTTTATTGCTTTGCTTAGGGTGAAATATTATATAAAAATATAATTAATACAAGTAAAAGGTTTGTCACTTAGGTGATTGATGTTACCTTCAGCATCTCAACTCCGAGTTTCATAGACTGATTGTTCAGAAATCATTACATCCACTCTGGTATCATCAGTTGACTGCTTATACTTCTTGATTTTTCTTATTTATGTATACTTTTCATTGGTGCAAGTTTTTTCTCCATACTGTATGTGTGCATGTGCCCTTCTTTGAGCTTTTGTACAATTTCTTGAATCAAAACCCTGCTGGGATTCCTACTTAATTTTGCTTTAGGATTGTTTTCTTCTAACATCGATCGCAGTCGACAGACTCTAGAAAATCATCAAATAGAAAAGAAACAGTGGCACTATAGTGATCCGACCAAACTTATCAGCAACACATTTATTACAAGCAATTCCTTATCTTACTTGCAAGGTTGCTCTCCACTCGCTTTCAGTAATAATTGTATAGCATTTCTCTTCCTACCCTAAATAAACAAATCAAGACACCTCTTTTAGTCTGCAATATTTCTGCAAATGCATATTGTTGTATGAAAATATAATGTCCTGTTCATTTCATTTGGGGAATTAGATTTTGGTAAAGTTTGTTCTTTCTCTTTTTCCTTTTTTTTTTTTTTTTTTTTTAAAACCTAAACAATTATTAGGTGTTTAGTAGCAGAAAACCTGTCAATAAGTTGTGATTCTTTACATATGAATTAGCACTTCTGCTTTGGATCAGTGTAGTTTCTGTGCATTCATATATTCATATATATATATATATATATATATATATATATATATATATTCAACTCTCCTGTCGAATTCAACTTATGAGAGTCAAAAAAATCAGTTCCCAGGAAACCAACAGCCCAACAACAGCACATGAGATTTGATTATAGCGGTGAATGTTTCGTGCGGGACCATCCACACTTTTTGAAGGGCTGAATAGAGACCTGGTGCACTATGTGCCACATGGTCCCCAAACGACCCTCTGCAGGTTTTGAATTCTGAGTTGTCCTTCTC